CATATAACACACAAAAACATTAAAAATATGAAAAGTTTTAAAAGATAAGAAAAAAATTTCAATTGAATAGAATATTAGACCTTCCTGTTAACTCTCCTAATTGTGTTATTTCCATCTTGTATATTTACTAAATCTCCCATGAATTCTCCAGGAGCGCTACCTTATGTATCGGGTAAATTTTATATGAGTTTCTTAAGGTCTGTTTGCAGAAATTACCCCATAGTCTTCTATACGTGTAAGTTTTTGTATTTTTTTAACACCCTAGTAAAATATGTCTCCTTATCAGCCGGGCTCCCGTTTCCGAATTCGCAAAAATTTTGCGTTTTAGTTGTCAAATCGCATAATTGCGCGCTCTCACAATCATATATCGCAAAATTTTCGCGGTTTCAAATCGGAGACTTTAGACTTAGTGGAATGAAAAGTAAATGAAGTCGCACGCTTAAATAACCGATTTATAAAAGCTTGGACAATTTTTATTTATTAAATGAAATTCTTAAGATACATTTCCCGTACTTAAAAATAAATATTATATTTAATTTATTTTTTAATTTAATATTTACGGACCACATCACAAATTTTTCTGCAGCAAAATTTCCGAAACAACAATCGATTAACTTCGCCAAATAATCGGTATGTAATTGAGGACGCCATTATTATTATTTGTTGAGAGGCGTTCTTGCACAGTATAGTTTTTGGAAGAAAAAATATTTCTAATCAAAATGTAAGTATAATAAATTACAACAAATGTATGTGTGTGTATGAAAATTAAACTAATATATTTGCCCTTAAGGGGAAAACATAAAACTCAAAAACAGGATGAGGTGATGGTGGAGTTCATGAGAAGTAATCAGGAGTTGGCCAGAGGATTTGTTAAAGGTGACCGAACTGCAGCTGAGGCCAAGTGGTCGCAGCTTACTACTGACTTAAATGCGATTGGTCCTCCTTGCAAGGACGTTAACGGCTGGAAAAAGGTATAGCTATTATTTATAGATTTGTTTCAGTTGTTAAATTTGTGTAAATCGTAGGTTTGGTCGGATTGGAAAATAACCATAAGGAGGAAACTTGCGAAAAATAAGCAGGAAACCAAAGCTACCGGCGGCGGCCCATACGCCCAGCTTGTCGTCCTTCCTATAGAGGAGACCATTGCCACCATTTGTGGGCTCTTCGAAATGGTGGACGGTGTAGGCGCATCGACTTTTGGAGTTCCAATTGCAGAAACCAGCCCATCGGACCCATTTTCCGACATCTTAAAACGCGAGCCCACAGACATTCAGGCAGAACATTGCCAAACTAGGGCAGAACCTGTTATTGTTGACATTGACGAGGAAGGAGCAGGGGAAAGCCGTCCTCGTTCGAAATCAGTGCCACAAAAGAGCGTACCAACTGACTTACAAGGTCTATGTGCAGCTCAAATAGAGGCTCTTAAAAAAGTGGTCGAAACCTTGGGCAAAATGAGCGCCCAACAGGCAGATTATTACAGACGCATTGAAGAAATAAAGAGGGAAGAGCTTGAGGTAACTAAGTCGATAGCCGAGGCAGTTTCCAAAATAGCGGCGAATTATATTTAATACATTTTCTTTTATCTATCTTTTTTTAATTCTTTAACAAATTTGAATATTTTATTTATTTATTATTTAGAGGTGATTAGTGGCCTGTCGAATCGCTAAAAAATCCCTTAATGTAAATGATGCCTTAATACAGTAGGAGGTCAAACAGTTACGACAGAGTACAAAATACTGGATGTAACCAAATTGGGCAAATTTAAACTTTTTGGTTAGTTATAAAAATATTGTCCCTCATATAACTAATTTCATATCAATTGAATTTTCCAACCTCATACAC